CTTTTAATTTCCCTTTTTGTATATGAGCCAATATTTTCGAAAAGAATTAGTTAATCAATATAACGGAGCCCAACGACATTTACAACAACACCAAAACTCTTCCAAATCTATTAGTCGAGAGGAATATTGTTGCGCTTGTTACCCTTTGCCCCTCGTTATACCCGAATCATTTAAACAATTTTGGAATTGGTATTCCAGTTATCACACCAGTTCATACTCAGGCAAAACTATCCAATACCTAGTTGAATTAATTGATACTCTAAATAATAATTCTGATACTACAACCGTTGAAATCCTTATACAACGAATTATTTTCAGCACTGTTTTTGAGAGAGTACCGGCTGACTATAATCAACTGAGAGATAGTATTATTAAACACCTTACACCTAAACGTAAACCCAAGAAAACTGACAATATGGCTATGTCCGACGTTCAATTAAAGGAACTTTTGAAAGGCATTACTGCTGGATTCAAGGAAGCCGCCAAGGAAATGTCCAATGAGGCAAACTTGATTCCAATTGAGACTTTTGCTGGAAAAATAAATGAAGATCCAGTAGAATGGATCGCTGCATTTGAACGAGCTGCTGAGACCAACAAATGGAAGGAATCTGCCAGAAAAATTCAAATTGCTGGAGGATATTTAAGAGGAATCGCTACACATTGGTATAAGGAACATAAAGATGCTGATACAATTAGATATTGGGATCATAATAATCATCAAGATATCTCTTTCGTACCATTATTTATTGCCCGCTTCTCCACTCTTGAAAGGAAAAACAAATGGCACTATGAATTACATAATCTGAAACAAGGCTATGACGAACGAGTAGCTGAATATGCTACTAGATTTAAAAAGTTATTATTCAAAGTAGATTCAACTAAGGTTCTACCAAGTGACTACAAGGTCCGAATGTTTATTGGAGGACTTAATGAAGAAATTGCTGTAATGGTTGGTGCTGGGAAACATGCTAACCTAAATGACGCCATTGAATTAGCCGAACAAATTGAAGCCGGAAGGTATTACAAACGAAGTCGAAATCAACGACATGATCCTGAGGGACGAAATGTTGAAAGTGAAATTGATAAACTAGCCCAACAATTTCAACAAATGAATCTTAATTATGCCGCCCTAACCGCTGCTTTGGCTAACCAAACTGATAAACTACCAGTTATCAAACCTCGGCCTAATTTTAATGCAAATATACCAAGGCCAACTAATTCTAACTCGAGGAACTGTTATAACTGTGGAGAACCAGGACATTTCGCTCGTGAATGTCTATCTGAAAGAAACCCACCTCGTCAAAATTCTTCTCATTATCAAAACCAAAATCGACGAAAAGTTAACTATGCAAATGTTGATGGAAGTGAAGGAGATGAAGAAGTTGAAGTCTATGAAGCAATTAGAAATAAACCATCCAACTCTCGACAACAAGGACCTATTACCCGCTCCATGAAAAAGAAATCACCTGAGAATACTGAACCTAAAATCTTAGTTGACTTTGAAACTAATCCCTATGAATCAAATGATGAAGTAATGGAGGAAGTTCGACCAAAAACTACACCAGTAAACAAGCCCGTAAAGAAAACCCGAGCTAAACGACAGCCTTCAGTTATCGATGAAATGCCCCCGTATGATATCTCTCAAGATATTCTTAATCTGCAGT